GTCCACAGCTTGACATTAAAAGAGTTTCTACATCCAGTCCACAGCTTGACATTAAAAGAGTTTCTATATCCAGTCCACAGCTTGACATTAAAAGAGTTTCTACATCCAGTCCACAGCTTAGAATTAAAAGAGTTTCTATATCCAGTCCACAGCTTGACATTAAAATAGTTTCTATATCCAGTCCACAGCTTGACATTAAAAGAGTTTCTACATCCAGTCCACAGCTTGACATTAAAAGAGTTTCTACATCCAGTCCACAGCTTGACAACAAAAGAGTTTCTACATCCAGTCCACAGCTTGACATTAAAAGAGTTTCTATATCCAGTCCACAGCTTAGAATGAAAAGAGTTTCTATATCCAGTCCACAGCTTGACATTAAAAGAGTTTCTATATATCTTTGAAACTTCCTGTTTAAATCAAGGAATCAATTTTTTAGATACAATCTCAAAATATTTGTCGCTTGTTTTATACGGTTATAATTCTAAGAATGTATGAGTGAAAGCAACGGAGAAATATGTTATAACATATCAACCTAACAACATAAACATAGAAATAATTATAAAATATAATTCTTATAAACCCACTTAATCGTAATATCTGTTACAGTAGTCTAACCACTGCCATACAAAACACCACTGTATCCTCTCCTGAAATACTAAAAATATTTGTTCATATCTTATGACAAACACAATACCTTAATCAGTTGAGTATTACAGACTATATTAAGAATCCATGAGTGAAAGGAAAGGATAATATGTTTTAATACATCAACTACGCTACCTCTGCTATATGAAATGCCGACAAGGCCTTTCGCCTAATGCCAAGACTCATGAAACCAGTTGGGATACTACAGAAGTAGTAGTGGTCTAAGCGCTATATATACATATATATTACATATCACCAATTTACATCAACAACAACATTTAGGATATATATATCAGATTATGCACGTGAAGTTGTAATTATTATCAATTTTATTTAAGTCATTTACTAATTAGATTTTTAGGGTAGAAATTAATAAGACAATATTATTTTTTTATTTCATCACTAATTATTTATTTTTCTTTATTAACTACATTTATCAGCTCACATCAGCCCAAGTTGGTCGATGATAGGGAACGTTGCTCAATAAGCTTTAACCAAAATCCACACCAATATAGCTTATTCTGTTTTAAAAGAATAACGTAAATTGAGCAGATAAGATTTGTTTGTTTGTAATTATGCACAAAGCTACACAAAAAGCTATCTGTGCTCTACCCACCACGGGTATCGAAACCCGGTTTCTAGCGTTGTAAGTCCGCAGACATACCGCTGTGCCACTGGGGAGCAGTAGATAAGAACGAATGAAACAGTTTGTTCGTTTAACCCTTACTTAAAATTAGCTGAATTTCCAAGGAAAACATTAAAACTGTTTAAAATTTCGTTTTAATGTACTGAAAGTCCCTATGAAGGTTTAATTGTTTAGCTACTTCAACACAGTGCATTATTCAATGATAAGTAAAACTATCTCCATTTGACGTTGTAAAAATTGAATTATCTCAAAAGGTTAAGTGCAATACATTTCTCCCTTTGACATATATATTGATAATCATAGTTTTTATTGTGTGTTTTCTAAAGGAAAGTGCAATACATTACATAACATCATTCAAGTGGTAATGAACGTTCTGACTTCTAAGTCTGGAAATGAAAGGTAAAATAAACTGGAATCTTTCCAACAAACTTATATATATATATATATATATATATCTTGGTTCCTATTTATTATTTTTCCAGGCTTAAAGATTACGTTTTCAGAGACCTCTTGTGAGTGCATGTTGAGTCTAGAATACCAAGGAGAAGGGTGTAAGCGACAAAAATAATAGTCTGGAATGTTTTCAAAAAAGTTATGTTACTTTTTTTTATTTTTTGGCTGAGGAATAAAGACTTCAAGAAGCCTACTTGAAATTTATTTATTCTTAAAATATTGGTAGAAACAAAAAAACTAGCTAAGAAGCTAAGTGACAATTTATTTAGTATTTTATGGACATCGATAGATTTCCTTGGCACTTGCTCATTTATTTGGATTAGGGAATAAATCTCAGCTGAATAAATAAAAAACAAACCGATTCTCAAAGAAAACAGCGCCATCCAATTTTTTGTTTTACATTCTAGCTGTGAGGAAGGTTTAACGTACCATTTGTACTTGTTAATATACTTTATAGTCATATACTTTTATTGCTTTTCTCTTTCTAAATGTGGTTTTATTATATATACAGCTGTGTATTTTTCAATTTTATTTTGTGTGTGTTATTTTCACTCTGTGGTTTAAGCGTAACTTAAGAAAACATAATACAGTAGAGAAGCTTCAGTATTCAAGGCATAACGTTCACACGTTATTTGCTTGTTTTAATATAAAGCAAATATATATACGTATATGCGGCAATGGAAATAATTATGAAAACATCTGAGCAATATATATTTAAGGGTCAGCAACAACGAGTAATGACACCTAGATTGTGAACTTATTAATAGTGAAAAAACACTGTCATAGAAAATACAAATGAAGAACCAGTAAGATACATGTGAGCTCTTTGCCTTACACACTGTCTTACAGTTCATCAATGTGCGATTATAGAATAATGTCACGTATTACTCTCCACAATGCAGCCACGTTGTCTCGTCGCCTGTTAACTTTCACAGATCTTTACATAAAATCACACAGCCGCAATAATTTTACATCAGCATCTTTATGGTCAAGATATCGTTTCACCATAGCTACTGTGAGCTTTAGATCACTGCCTTGCTGGAAAATAAATCCCCACCCGATGAATTGTGTTTCTGAGGGCATGCCTGTACTTGTCAGCAGTTAGATCGCCGTCAATTTTGTGCAGATCACCTACAACGTTGGCTGAAATGCAGACCCAAACGTGTACCGATTGATACCCCACCATCTTTCACAGTATATTTTGTACCTTGACTATGATACTGTTCTTTTCTCTACAGTTGATGAAACTGCCATTGATTATGACCATTAAGTCGTACTTTTGTTAATCTGCAAAATGTACCTGTTCAGTTTTACTCATTACACTGTTTGTGGTCTGATGTCCATTTCAAGGAAACCTTCAATGAGTCCACTTCGGGTTAAACTGTCTTACTGTTCTGAAGGTAACATTCACACATATATTTATAGCCACATCTTATGCTAGACATATAGTCTATCTCATACAGAACATACCGTGAAATACTCAATAATACTTCTGTAAAAATTCTATTTTCTACCTCAAACACTTCATAATTAACAGTACCAGTTTCACGTACGCTCTTCAGAATATTTCTTTGAAGTCCCAGTAAAACATGGAGTCTTGCCACAATGCTTTGCATGGAGTTTCCTAGGAAACACAAAGTTTTGATTTATACTGGTTTATCATGTGGCATTTCTGTTCTAAGAGCCATGACTGGAATCATACTACTATTAATAATAATAATACCAGGTATAATATGACTACCTGTACTTTTATAGGCTATATATATATATATTTGTAGGACACTTTCTGATTGGTTGGATGATAACCAATCACAGTATAAGCTATCAGCACGTGGGTGTTTGTTATAGTGCGGTTCATTTCAACACGATAAAGATATGTCACTCCCTTAGTTTTTGCCTTTCATACCCTATTTACTCACCGTTTCTGCAATTATTTCCATTATTGTGTTTCAGAGATGGCGACAATAAGCATTTACCGGTCATACATAATGTCTGGGTTGTTATCAGCTGTAAGTATACCAATATGTTTTCACTTTTATAAATAGTTCAGGAGATCAAAGGACGAGAAATATAGAATTCTTGAAGCCAAGTGTATGCTCCTCATTAGTTAACACTGCAGCATTTCATGACAGTTGAAACTATTATGAACACATGTTATCTCGAGTATTACTTATTATATTTAACAATTTATTTTGACAAAATTATCTTTTTTTAGGGATGTCAGTTATTTAAGTGCATTTGAAAAGTAATTTTACCCCTGATTCTTAAGAAAATTAAATGTTAAACACACAACGGAAACTACAGTTGAGTATTGTCGTTTGCTTGTTTGTAATTAAGCACAAAGCTATACAATGGGCTATCTGTGCTCTGCCCACCACGGGTATCAAAACCCGGATTCTAGCGTTGTAAGTCCGCAGACACACCGCTGTTCTAAAGAGGGGCGAGTATTTTCATCACTGAATGTAGAAAAAGAAAAATATATATTTTTTAAAAGTTTTAACTGGTTGTTAAAGAGTAGGATTTAATTCATCAATTTTTCCCCTACGTTTATAGTTTGAAAATTTAATGAATTTTTTACGTCACCAAGATCGTTTTGTGAAGCGCTTGAACTATACTTTTAAAAGAAAGTTGCTATAATTAAATTATTTATGTATTCTGCTATATGTCGTAATACAAAATGCGTATTAATGGGAAATATTCAGTTCATCATAATTCCAATTCTAATCTTTTATTTGTTTAAAATGGCGCTAAAAACTGTTATGATTACTTCTAGAAATTTGTGTATTCTACGTTTAATCAATGCTATAATGAAACTTATATATTACACAATTTGTTTGTGACGTAATGTCTTCGGTCAAAACCTTATTTTTTTCAACCAGGCAATTATTGCGAAGATAATTCATAAATAAATAGTGTCTTTCAAAGAGGATTATTTCATGCAAACTAAGTCAGTAATATAAATAATATGAATAGCAAATCGTTCAACTGCAGCCTGTTGATGAACTAAAAGTACGGCCCGGCATCGCCAGGTGGCTAGGGAGCTCGACTCGCAATCTGCGGGTCGCGGGTTCGAATCCCCGTCCCCCTAACATGCTCGTCTGTTCAGCCGTGGGGGCGCTATAATGTGACGG